GGATGTTGGGCATATGTTCATCCACAACGATTGAGGTGTATGCGTGTGTGTGTGTGTGTGGTGTGTGGAAAATGTTTTACAATTGCAATAAAATCACATTCAAGCCGGAATCAAAAAGTGCAGTAAAAAGGGAGTAGAAGGACAGCTCTTTGTGTAGCAATCGTTGTTTCTAACAGGAGGTAATTGTTTGTAAGAATTCCTTTTTAAAATATATATTAGGAATTTATTAACATATGTTATATTGTTTGAGATATATTAGCAGTTGTGTAGAAATTTTCAAGATCTGAAGAGAAGTGTGGAAAATCTGTTAACAATATGATTTGATATTTTCAAAAGACCAAATATGCCACGCTACTTAAAAATCATTCAAGGCGATAAAAGGTGAGGAGGCTTTCCATTATTGCTAAGGAGTTATTAGATGACTCCCTAGTGACCCCTATCACCAGTATCAGTATAGTTAGTATGGAAGCTTTTCACCTGATATTAGGTACTTTTCATTAAAGGATACTTTGGCATTTATGCGAAAGGCTAAGGTTCTTCTACTTGGTTACGGTGGACCTACTGTTGAGCTATGTTCTACTAACAGTGACTTTCTTTACTATTTTACAAACCGCTTTTATAAATATATCCATTTTGTTTATCTAGTTTGTTTATCCAGTTTATCTGTTTATCTAGTTTTTTTCAAAATTCGGTTTCGCGGAGTTTTTAACTACTTATGCTACTACTCATACCATAGATTTTTATTGTTACTGGGCTTAAATCGTTTACTTTACAACTTAAAATTATAAATGTTTTTTTTTTTAAATAAAACTACTTATACTACTCTACAGAAAAAATTAATATCATGTGACATACTTGTCGTCTAACGTTCAAATCAATTTAGTTGTAGCATAATAAGACCTGCCATGGCCACAGTCTTGTGCTGCAGTAGGAGTTATTAGTCCTGTTAACTATCAATCAATCTATCCATCTAATTGACTATCTATTTATCTACCTAACTGTCTTTCTATCTATCTATCTAACTATCTCCAGTAAACAGCGATATAGCATTTTATTATATGTAAAATTTCTTAAACCAGAATTATTGTGTTTTCATATATAATGATCTTTACTTAGTTCCGAAATGGTGTGTCTATCTTACGTATATTTTATGCACTCCTCAGTATAATTGAAAGTTCTTCTAGCATTAAAATAATGCTAAGACTCCAATTAAATCGACTAAATATTCCCTTGATATGACAGAATATGAAGAAGAATTTTGCTATTATCTTTAAATGATTTTATTTATAAACAAAATTTTCTATTTAAAATACTTTCTTCATGCTTTAAAAATGTAATGGCATTGAATTGCAATTTCGACTACATTTACATGAATACTCCAAGTGGATATCCTTACAATGAAACGTTTTTAAATCTGACTACCTCAGAAAACTTTGTTGAACTCATATCCTATTACAATACTCATTACAAAACTTTTGTTATTCAATAAATTATTGTCGAGTCAAGGGTAACACTCGTAGGTCTACGCCTGCTGCTTGTGTTTGTTACAGGATATGTAAGGACATGCTTATCAAATTAATTTTATTTAAACTCTTTGCAATTCACTTTCAATTTCTACGGACTGAGGATTGCTGGATTGTGCAATTATTTTTTGTGTTCACATTTTAGGGTTGCATAAAATGAAAAACTAAAACAACACACCGTGTCTACTTCAGCTGAAGGGTTCAATTTATTGAGGATTGGGAGCACTTCTGACTACCCGGATAAATATGCGATATGTAATAATAGCAATAATAATTGCCTTCAGCTGTTTGGAGAAGAATCAGTTTTTTCTTTTGAGGATAAAAGTAATGAAACCGTCATTTACTGCCATCGATTTGATTTCAATTTTATAACTGCACTTTTGAAGTTCTTTTTGAAAAGTTTTTAATATTATTTTTATTTTCAATTATTTTTTATTTTATTTAAATTTCTAATTAAATATCAAATAAATAAGAAATAATGTGAATACTAAAAAAAAAAATTATCAGAAAAAAGTTTAGTTGTTCTAGTCTGTATATTCAGTAGACTGTCAAGAAGAGAAATGATATTTCTATAATGTTATCTGCTACATAGATCTTCCCGGGCTCTTATAACACCAAAAATTAAAAAGATATGACAACAAATCAAGTGTTAAAATGAATGAAAATATTTGACTTAAATAATTATAAAATGAGAATGCATAAAGAAGCAGAAAGAAGAATCCTTAGGTCAGATTTGGTAAATGCTATGGATGATATTTGTATTCAAGTCTTTTCATAGTTTCATTGTGGTTTCTTAAGTTCTTGTAGATTCTATTAGTAACAATCTCAAAGGTTACTTTAAAGGTAGTTAGGACTATCTTGTAGTTAAAAATATATATAGGTAGTAAATACGATTTCAATCTATACATATTCAGAAAGTAAAATTCATTAAGTACCGTCAAAATAATGATCAAGCACTGCTGAAAGAAAATGAATGGAATGAAAACCTATATGTGGTAAAATCCTTGTTATGCAGGTTCGGAGCTGGTGATCTTCTGATCTACAGTTATATAAATCTTATACTAATGATTCAAAATCCAGAACATATGTAACAGACCCATATAATATTAATTATTATTAGGAGTAAGGGCTTTCTTTTTTGGCAAGGAACTTGCCATAGATAAAGTTTATTAATTAATAAAGTTTATTAAAATATATTCTTTGGGAAAAATGCTAGCTTAAAGTGATGTTGGAAAAACTGTAAGTAAATTTTGGTTTTCCATATTTTTAATGTATTTTTAAGTTATTTACATTTCTAGTGTTTCTTTTCGTCAATACTCCTTTTCAAATACTAAATTTAGAAACTGAAATAACAACAATCATCTGGTTGTGGGCTAAAGGATAAAGAATTTAATAAGTTGCAGTTGGTAAAATTGATAATCATAAATGCTTCCAAGGTTGTTCGGGTATGGATTCCAAAACACAGTAACCCTGAATAGAACTGTAGAGCAAGAAGGGATTACTATACCTTACAGGATCAGTTTAAAATAATTTCTCATAATAAATAACCACCTGTATTAATGCATATGAATATTATAGAAATAGTAGCTATAAAGAGGAAGAAGAAAGACATTAAAACTGGCATTCTCTATAAGGAGGTAGAAATAGCTATTCTGTAGTTACTTAGCTCCACAGTTCAGGTTTCGTGGTAGTGTTCATCACTAACATTTAGCACTTTGATATGTTTTAGAAATAATGGTATGGCAATGGATTATTTGTGCTATTTGACTTCATTAACTAGATTGATTGCCACAATAACAGTGTTATCTTTTGATTTCAATATCTTAATATCCTATCATTCAAATCTTTGCCATTATCATAGTAACTTTCTAGTTAGAATTGCGTTTCTCTACGGAGTAAATTAAAATTTTTTAATTTATTTTTTTTCTTTCATTAAAGAATTAGAAAATTGTTGGACTTCGTAAATAGCACAAATTAACTGCTGTCATATTAGCATCAAATGAAAATCCAAATTGGAATGATATTTGCTTGATTTATGACAACTCGTTAGGCAAAATTTCTAATCCTTTAATCAAATAAAAAACACATTTAATTAAATATCATTTATATGCCACTCACTCCCTGTTCCGCACTCGTCATGAGCGGTGCACATGTCGGACACTTGTGCCACGGGTATTGAGGCTGAAAAATGCCAGAAACCAAAGTGAATTCCGCGTTTAAACGATAATTTGCCAAACATGAAATGAAGTCGAACGAATGCGGAGAAGAGCAAATAAACAATTTAAACATCCAGTGCACTCCTCTCATGAAAACTTCTTCATAACCAAAAACCAAAAAGTATGCTATCCATGTGCGAAGCGCCAGAGGGCGCGTGCTCCTCTGGATTAAGTAAGGCAAATTGATTAAAAATCTGGTCTGGAACGAGACGGTCTGTTGCACAAAATGACTGATTGACGAGCGCACCGCTTTTTAAAATGCGTCAAGCCTCGTAAAGCGTTCCTCTTGTTTGCTTAAGGAATATTCTTCACTGCTGTTGTGTGGCACGAGTTCCCCGTTTACGGGAAGGAAGGCAACCATTCTTCGCTGCATTCTGTTTCTTTCATTTAATTTCAGCAAGTTTGGCTTATTAAGTGAAAGTTTTTATTACGACCATAAAAAATTGCATTGTTCCTTTTGTTTGATGTTGTTGTGAGCTTATTTTTCAAGGCACACGTGTCCAATGTTACTCAATGACGGATAAGCCTAATCCATTGCATAAACATTATTAAAGCAGGCAACTCAGTGCACTGAGCGTTTGCAAAAGAGCAGCGTTCATGGCTGGAGGAAGGAGGAATGGGATTTGGTGGTTGAAGGCAATGGTTACTTGCACTGACGATTTATGGAACATTTTAATCAATGTTGGCTTAGTTATCATAATCTAGGAGGATTAATTTCAATGTAGGCGTGCACCTGAAGTTGATTTTCCATGCTTGCTGATGTTTGCTATGGATGCCATGTAATTTTATGTTGCCTTGGTATTAAATTGGGATAAAGGATTAATAAGGGCAATTCGTGTTTTGGATAATTTTACTGCTATGTACTCTAAACTGAGCTAATATTAAATTTTTGCTGAAGGAAAAAATTTTAATTTTGCTGATTTAGTGTCAGACACGTTTTTAACCATGCATTTTTATTGTGTTAATAGTTAATCACATAATTTATTTATTTAGTTATTTATTTAGCTTTCTTAGTGAACTCAAAGATTCATGAAATGCCAATTAAAATTGGTGAACTTCTTCAAAAGGTATATAATATTATAAAGTCATGGTCAATAAAATGAAAAATTTAATTAATATATAAAAGAAGTAACTGCAATAGAATTATTCATTCATTTATCTCAACACTATTTAATTGGCTACATTTCCCTTAACACATCACTCGACCTTTCTCGATTTCATACATAAATAAATAGGAATAAAAACTTTAAAAGCCACTTACTTTTGCATTCATTTGGATCACGTGCCGTTGCGCGTCCCCACGGACGGTCGAAATGAAAAGGTTTACAGCGTTCGCAGTCGCGTCCGGACGTATTGTGCTTACAATCACAAGTCAGCAAGCCATGGTGATCCGGAATGCACTTCGAAGCGTGTCCATTGCACTTGCAGCGACCACCAACAGAAAAATCTGACACAGCATAGTGTTGCCCAGTGCTTGCAATGAGTGCGGAAGTGCCACCAGCTGCGGCACCACTAGTACCGTACATGCTCTGCTGATCAAGGGCGTTCGAGCCCAATTGGTGTATGTGCAGCGTGTTACTTTCGGTTTCACTGTATTTGCCAGCTTTTATGTCAACATTCGGTTCTAGTGTGAGCTTCGTAGCCTGCTCAGGCATTTGCAGGCGATTGAATACCACTTTTATGTCTGTAGCTGTAACCCAATCTTGCAGCACAGGCGATGAGTCTAAGTCACGTGCCGATGGGCGACCTTCAAGAGTGCTAAAAGCGATGCGTGTCCCTTGTATGCCAGACATTTCACCAGCGTGGCGATGCGCATCAGTGCAGCGTGCTTCCTGTTCGTTGTGCTTAGTTATAGTTAAGCGATTTGGTCGTCCATAGACGCGTCTGCATTGTGAACTGTAGAATTGGTATGGCAGCCAAGTTTTGCCAAAATCTGCGCTCTTGTAAATGGCAATCGAGTCGGGCTTAGGTGCTTTCGGGCAGAACTGCAAGCTGATGTAGGTGAGTTCATATTTCTTGCCCAAAGTAAGCAACAGTGTCACATTGTCTGGCGGAGCATTCATGCTGGTAACTGGTGTTATAGGTTCCGAGCGCCAGCAAGTGACATTGTTGGAGTTATTTAAATCAGTTAGTGCACTGGCTGGGAAACGTTGTTGAGGATTGTCGTTGTCGCAAGTGTGACATGTCATATCCTGAGACTTACTACTGCCACTGACCGAGGTATGCTCGCAATAGCGTTGCGGTTCATTGTAGCCACAAGTACTTGTAGCTAGGACGGGTGTGCCATAGGCTGCATTCACAAAATCCGGTATGCATTTGCGCGCTTTGTCATCATCATAGCAGGGGTCGGTGGGCGCCTGTGCGGCCAACATTTTCAAGTAAATGTCGGTCGGTATAGCCAGCACAAATTGTAGTGTGGCTAAGAGCAGAATGAGCTGTACCAGCTTAGCCATTTTACGTTTGAATTATTGGTAGGGATTAAGTCGATTAATTTTGAATTGTAGAGGCTGCGAGCCTTTTTAATTGTCGCAATTTGTTTTGGAGTCAGAAATTAGGTCAGGCCAAGTCACTTCTAAAAAGTAATTAATTGTTTGGTTGTTTCACAATTTTTATTTGTAATAAATTTTGTCTTGAATTCACTTCACTTTTAATTAAAATCATAATTTTTATTAAAAAATTGTAATTCTCTTTGAGATTCAAAATATTTTTGCTTTCTTTCCTCTGCGCATTTATTCAAGCGGTGATTGAATATGGGGCGGGATCGAGCACCTGAAAGCACTGGAATCCACCACAAATCATGCACGAAGCAATTTCAGATTTTACTTATTTTAATTTATTTCGCATAAAATTAATAGAATTTTTCAAATTCGCACGCACCACACGTAAATTAGCAACGAATTTCTCACAATTTTTAAAAATAAACGCGTTTAATTCCCGCGCGCACGCGATAAGCACAACACGCAAAAAATTCACTTCGCTCTGTCACACGCAGAATTGCCGAAGAAATGCACTCGAACAGAATTTCTGCTAACACAACGCGCCGTCCCGTTCGCAAACGTCAATTCAAGTTGGCTGTTTAGAGTCAACTGAACGGGCCCAACAACAAGCACGACACGAAAATACACGGCGCACACGACTGAAACAATTATTTTTACCGTGGCGATGCTGTATGCTGTATTGGCTCTGCGCTGATGATGCCAGCGCTGCCTACTTGCACTGCCTAACCCAGCAAGCACACATCATTCTTCAAGCAATCATCATTCTTCCTCTTTGTCGTCGTCGTCGTCGTCGTCGTCGTTATCGTCATCGTCATCGTGTGTTAGCATCATTCATTCAATGTCTGTTCGGCGCTTTTTCTACTTGCGGCATGCAACTTAACATTTTTCTACCTGCATGCAACAATTTTCCGAACAGCCGCATCTGTACGCTGTACCATACATCAAACTAAACACAACATGTCTGCGAACATGTCGCAGACGGGAGGTAGTTGCATGTGCCAAATGTAAACGAAGCAGTTGGGTTGCTGTCTGAGATGAAACTCAACTCGCAGCATCCACATTTCGGTCTTCACCACGATTGAACGAAGCATCTCAGTCGCTGTTGCTCTCGTCGGCTGTGACGGTTTTCATCTCATTTTACATTTGCATTGCGCTGCTGCGATTATTGCTGTTAACAAAAATGTTAATGACGCTTTCAGCACTGTTAACGACAGTGTGCACAACTGTTGCTGTTTGGTTGAAGTTAAAGAGATTTGAGGCAAGGCTTTATAAATTAGTTGGATTTCTGTTTTATGATTCATTAATGATTAGTAATTTTATTTATATAATAAAGCATAATTTTTTACAGTGTATTTAAAAGGTTTTGAGCCTTTTGGAGCAGTATTAAAGAGTGAAGTAAACAAATCTTCACGTGGCTAGTTAGGTGAAATGGTAATAGGAACGCATCCTCCTCATTTAGCTAAGAAAGCCATTCTCATCCACATTTCTCATTATTGTGGGTAGAAGGATGGATATATTAGAACCATCCTATTTTTATTTTGCTAATTTTGTATTTTGCCAAAACTAGTGCTAGAAATATCGCCGAGTTTGTTGAAGAATGTGACGCCCTTCACACACTTATTCGACTTATCAAGAGTGGTTCTTCATTAGATAGTATTCATTCCTTAAGTCAGTGAAAAGTATACTCTTCTAATTTTATAATATGATATATAATGGGTTTTAATAACAATTGATAGTCTGTTCTTGACAGTGGTTATATGAATATTTCTTATAATCCATATATTTAAGTATATTCAAAAAGTAAAAAAAACCAATAATAAATGAAATAAATGAAAATGATAATAATGGTGTTTGATAACATTAAAAGTGTTTATGTGTGCTTTATTACTTTATTATATTTTTATTATTGTGTGAGCTATATAAGACTGCGACAAATAGATCAATTCAATTTCTATTTCATCTCCAAGTGAAATGAATTTACTCTGGAGTGTTTATGATTTATGCAGTACCTACCCAGTACATTCTTCAAACTCTCCTCTTTTTCTTTGCAAACCTGCAAATTCTATTTGAAATCCAGTTTGTCAGCTTAGCTTATAGTGCCCTGATAGAATTCCTGTTATGGTTCTTAACTTTTTCCTTATTATTTTTAAATTATTTTTATATTAACATAGATATAGGTTTTTATGAGCAATTCGAAAAGAGATAAACCCTTAAGATTTTTTAATTTAATTTTCATTGTTTTCCTTCTGTTCTAATTAATTGGGTTTTGTTATCCTATTTTTTATCTCAATTGTTTTTGATATTTTAATTAATAATAATAATTAATGTCGATTTTAAAGAAGGAACTATCATTGAATTGGTTTAAGACATGGTTATAAAAGAAAAAAAATAATGAAGAATTCACTGCGGATGAACAAGCAAAATTCTTCACAAAAAGTATACGAGTACCACGGTTCGACTATTTTTCATTCCCACAACTAAGATTGGTTGTTGATATTCATAAATTTATTAAAATATTGAGCTAATTCTGCACTAAAGCCTAAGTTATAACAATTTTCCGATATAAAAATAAGTTAGAGACCGTTTGTAAGTTCGGCCATTTATAATCTAATGTTTTTGGGATGATGCAGAGGTGAATACTAAAAAGAATGTTGGACAAGCTAGTTTTCCATGCTTTCCGTCTAACTACAAAAAAAAAAATAACTTCAGTTAATTTTAGTAAAGGAAAAGAAAAATTACATGATACCTATTATTATTGTAGAGTGAAGTTCTTTGATTTTAGCAAAGGAAAAGACACAGAACATGAAACCTACTATTACTATTGATAAATTATTCTATAAATTTCTTACTGGAACATGATATTGTGAAAAAAGAATACACAAAAAAAAAGAATACGGAGTCTAGAATATGGAATATGGAGTGATACACTACTGTGTACTAACAGGAATAGCATCAAAGCTACTCCTAACTTTTCTTAGGCCATTAATAAGCTAAAGCTTAATATAGACTTCATCATCCTTTCCAAAAAAAAAAATATGTCGAATAAAATAAAATTGATCAAAATTCAAATGAAATAAATTTTGAATGAATTCCTTCGAAATGAAATTTCTAGACTGAATTGGCTTAGATTTCAATTTCAAATTCAATTTCAAAATTATGAACACACAAACGGGAAGCGCTCCACTTGCCTGGGAGTTTCATGAATTTGAACCGAGTACCGAGCATTGAGCACCAACCACTGAGCAAACAAAAATCCAAACAAATAACTGCAGATACAGTAAACAAAAGTTGCGGTTGCCAGCAGTTTGCAGTGTCAGTGTGTTAGAAGGGACAGCAAACAAATAAACAACAATAACAACAATAACAATAGCAACAACAAATTGCAATGATAAACGAAAATAAATTTTGCATTCCAAACCAAAGACCGAAATCGACAAACTGAACGAGGTCTGCCAATTGCCCACCGCCATTGGTTCTTCCACACTGCCTTGGCAGCACCCACAGTTAAGTTGCAGTGAGTCAATATGGACAAACAATATGGCCAAGGAAACCGCTTTATTGATGTGGCTTTGAAATTTGAATGACCAGCGTGAAGTGGTTGGGTGGGTGAGAAATGAAAGGCTGTGCAAAGAGGCATATTAGACGCAGATAAGCTTTTGGCTTATGGCTCTGGCCCAGTGACAGAATGTGGCACGGAAGTATGAAAGCGTTTGTGGATTTTTTCCTGGCTTTTGGTGAGGTAATAAACCAAAAGTATAAACAAATGCAGGAAGACATTAGAGTGCAAATGCAAAGTCAGAATGAATGAGCAAACCAAACAACTGAAAGCATCCCAAATGTGTTGAGCTCGACTCATTTGCAAGGGATCGACTTGGTTTGTATTGGAAGAGTATGGATTTAGTGGACACAAATGGGATGTTTTGTCGTAGATTTGGTTTGAGTTTTTAATTTAGTTAGAGTTTACATTAGACTCAATGACAAGTTGGAATTTCGCTCATGGGTAACTGTCAGAAACACTGTGCAGTAGAACAATAACTACAATAACAATGAAATGCAACAACAACAATAGTACTAAGCATATTGTTGACTTGTATAAACAAAAACACAAATACGGACAACAAATGTAATAATATCTTTCTCACAAAAAGACAAAACGGCCAAGTTCATCAGTAAATCCATAGAATCCATAGAACTAACGGACATTAACAAATAAGGAATTTCATATGAGTCAACCTAACAACAAAACTAATGCTAACAACAACAAGAAGAACGACACTACTAAAGCCGAACAGAAGCAGAACAAATGGTTTTCAAATGGATTTCACAAAATGACTTCCAGCCATGAATTATCTTCCAGATGCCATCATCAAGATTATCGCAAAAAAGCGAAAATTTGTTGCTGTCAATAATATTCTATAGAGGACAAGCGTGTACATGATTCGCAGGCACAACCAAAGCTGTTGGAGTTGGTTGGTCAGTTGGGTCTAACCAGTTAACCAAACAAATATGAAAACCATTGATATCGATGCGTAATTTTTTGCTTGTCCATCTTTGTTGGTTGAATGAAAATGCAACGGGCTCGCAGACAATACGCCAAAAATTTTTAGTAGTCCCGTTGTACGTCATCGTCATCGTTCTCGTCCTCGTCGTCACTAATAATAAAATAACAACAACAACGCGACAGTATTCTCATCACTACAGAAGCAATAATATTTATCAACATCAACAACAGCCGCAAATCGTCATCAAGGCGGTCAAAATCATGGTCATCAATGTCAGTGTTATGTACTGTTCATTGCCTTTTCCATCCACATATGTTTTCGCTTCCACTGCTTCTTCAGCTTAATCACACTATGCCATATCGACTGAGGATGAAATATGGGCTAACATAAATAATTCATGAAGAAAAATGCAATGTCCTTTCGGTGCATTGGTTACTTATAGAAGTAAGCTCATATGTTATGTAAAAGGAGCTACAACGATTGTAATGAGAAAACTGCATTAAAGGATAAAGCCTATACTTGAATTGAGGAAAGAAATAAATAAAATAATTACGATTTTTTATAAAAATATAAATAATATAAAATATATTTATGTGTATATTATTTACCATATATATTTATCAAGATATTGCTTAAC